TTCACTAAAGTACCTGAAATGCATCAAAGATTACAAAGAATTAGAGTTGTAATGATCGGTTTGGTCAACTCGACACTCAGCTCGATCGAGTCAAAAAACTCGAGTGACAAACTCGATCGAGTTGGGTGAAAACAGAGTATAACCAAACCTAATTCAAGTATTAAGAGCTGGAAAGGATGCTAATCAATCAAATTGAACCAAGAACAACTAGTAAATGGAACAATAAGCAATTCTAGTGAAACTAAGCATCTTAACCAATACCAAACTCAAATTCAATTTCAAGCACATGCAACAAGTTTAAAGGCAAAACAGAGGTGAGGTGAAACAAATTAACAAGATTATACAGCAGAGGCGAAATATGAGGGCAATTACTCAAGAACAAGTCCACAAGGGACACATGCAATCAAAAATCAAAGGAAACAAGCAATAGGAAATCGAGATGGATGAATCAAGGGTTTTAGGGTTCATACCTTGTTGAATGATGGAATTGAAGAGCAGTAAACTAAAACCCAAGCAAAACAAGATGAAGAACAAGAGAAATCGCAAAAACTTAAGAGAGAAAGATTGAAATCGATTTTCTTGTGGTGAAGAGAGAGAGGATGAGTTTCAGAAATTTTAAGATTGTGGGAGAGAGAGAGGTGGATTCGATCGAGTTATGGGGAAGAGGGAGTGTTTGAGATGTGTGGTTGAGATTAAAAGATGAAATAAAGAGGGAACAAGAAGCTAGGGATTCTCTGATCAAATTAGGGTAGTGGGGGACCAAAATCAGCTTGTGGGACCCACTCCCTTGACCAAGAAAACGGTTATGAATTTGAAATTCAAAAACTTACCTCGGTCGAGTTGTGTAGCTCGATCGAGTTGCCCTGGTTTCTAGCTCGATCGAGCTGTCGGTCGAGCTGGCTTTTGACACCTAAACTTAACTTATTCAAAGGTTAAAAACATAAAGATAGATAGAAATTGCATAAATAGAGTATGTACAAGGATAAACATGGGACTTCCTCCCAAGTGAGCTTGTTTAAGGTCCCATAGCTTGACCTTTACCTTCTTAGGCATTGGTTGAGCTAGTCCCACCATCAAGGGTGATAGTGAGGACTTGAGACAGAAGCTCCTTTAGCTTGGTTGGGTCCCTGGACTGTTCTGAAGTCACCAAGGCCTTGGCTCTAGAGAATGGCCTTGATCTCCCCTTGTACCTTATCTTGTACTCAATCTTCCCATTTTCAAACTTGGTGGGGAACAAAGTCATTGTGAGCTGAGATGGCTTGACTGAAGGGGCCTGAGCTGGTGGATCCTTTCTTTTATCTCCTGGTCTTGCCTTAGAGGCTGCATCCTCCCCTTCTTTAGAGCCCTTCCTAGTGGCTCATCAAACAAAGCTTGAAGGCTCTCTTCATCAAGCACACAAGGGGCTTGAACAAGTCTCTCAGCTCTTGGCCTATCAGATCGTGGTTTCTCAACTCTAGCCCTCTCAAGACGTGGCTTCTCAATCCTTGGTCCTCTCTCATCCTTATCCTTCCCAACTCTTGGTTCCTTGTCAACCCTTTCCTTCACAACCTTTGTAGCTCCATGACTCTTAGAACTGAGATTGGTACTGTCAATTGTGGCACAAAAGTCTGAACCTCTAGGCTGCAAGCGATATGACACCAAACTATTCACCTTGTGAAGGATCACTTCTTGCTTGTGAAAGTCTATTGAAGCGCCAACTGTACTAAGGAAAGGGGTTCCCAATAACAAGGCAAATCCTTCTCTTCTTCCATTTCCATCACAGTGAGATCAGTTTGGATGATGCATTCTCCAATTTTCAAGTGATAGTTCTTGAACACTCCAAGAGGAGACTTAGAAGTTGCATCTCCAAACATGATTGAAGTAGTAGGGCGCTGCAAGGCTCCAGCTATGCCTAGCTTCTCTGCCATGGAGAGAGAGATCAGATTGATGCTTGCTCCAGAATCCACTAAGGCATTGTCAATCTCAAGATGCCCAAGTGTGCAAGGGAGAGTGAATTTCCCTTGATCCTTGACCTTTGGTAGGAAGGTGGGTGAAGTAAGCAGGTTGAACTGATGAGTAGACTCTTGTAGGACCTCTGAAACTTTATCACTGTTGGCTAGAACATCCTTGACCATTTGCATTTGATCAAATGCCTCACTCATGCTATCCATAGAGGCAACTCAATTCCAATCCCACTGAGATCTCTTCTGAACTTGTGAATCACTTCCTTGTGACCTTGACTAAGTAGGCGAGACGAGGAAGCGGCAACCGGTTGATAAGGATCAAGCAAAACAGGCTGTCGGACAGAAGAGGTCGGACTCGATCGAGCTAGAGTTGGACTCGATCGAGCTGCCGATCGAGCTTGTCGTGCGAGCTCAACTGGTGAAGTGTGAATGGCCACAGTAGGTGCATGCACTTCTGGTTGATCAATCTGGACTCCAGGAGCCTCAGCAGCAACAATCTCTTCATCATTCAGCAGTAAACAAAAATCTTCAATGACCCTTTCTTGATCCTCTTCTTCAACAAGTCCTTCTTGAGTGAAGATGACCTTGCACTGTTCCTTGGGGTTCTGAATAGCTTTACCAGGTAGTTGTCCTTGCTTTGTAGCAGCAGCAACAGAAGAAGCATGATTCTCCAGAGAGTAAACCCTTGTGTTGAGGTTCTCGATCTTAGAGTTTATTTCAGCTAGCTTCTTGCTTGTGTCCACTACCCCATCAGCTTGCCCTTGAAGTAGTTGCTTTAGCATTGCCTTGAGCTCATTCTCTTGTGAAGGTGCAGGCTGGGGCGGTTGGTGGGGGAAGCCTGGTGGGATATTCATTTGTTGTCCAGGGAAAGTGCCTTGTGGTCCTTGGTAATTGTTCTTTTGACCATACCCATGTTGTGGCACCTGACTCGATCGAGCTGCTTGTTGTTGAGGATATACTTGGTCCTGAGGGTTAGCAACATCAGTGTTGCGGTATGACATGGCAGGGTTGGACTTGTAGTTATAGTATCCTTTGTTGTAACCTCCTTGCCCATTGCTCATGTAGCACACCTCAGCAAATTGTGTATCCTCCCCTTCTTGGACTGGTTCCATCTCCTCAGCAGACACAAAGTTGACTTTCTTCATTGTGGACTGAGCTAGGATCAGCTTATCCAACTTCTCATTCAATGCCTTAACATCTTTTCTCAACTTTTCGTCTGACTCAAGACAGGGTTTTGCAATCAAAGGAATCTACACTTAATCAATCTAGCTCTTAAAACTCCTTGTATCAAGGCTTCTCTTGATATTGGGCTTCTCAATGCCTAGCCAACCCTTTCCCAAGGTGGAGGCTATCAACCAAGGAATGATCTCAGAAACAGGGGGTTAGCCAGTGAGAATCAAACCTTGGAGGCTATAGGATCATTGCCCAAACTAATCCATCCAACCCCTTAGACCTCTATTGTCTAGAGCAAGAGATATTGGAGCTCTTAGTGGATCTTTTCCAGCGAATGCCATCACTTTCGTGTGGGGAGTCGCCTAAGGACTTACAAGCCAGGGGTAGTGGTCATGTAGCCTTAAGATCTATCCAAAAGAGAGAGAATCTAGATTAAGACCATAAGCTAGAGCATATGAAACCTCTAATCTACATCAAGCAAATTCAATAAAAGAGACATCATAAGAAAGAGGAGATGAAATTAAACAACTTTTATTGAAATAAGCAAGTGCAAATACAAGAGAGATTATCCAGGATCTAAGATTCAAGAAGCAAGAGCTTCAAGAACACAAAGATGGGATTAGATCTCTAAAAAGTAAAAGACAATAAATTAAAAGAAGCTAAAACAAAAGTAATCTAAAGCTTGGTGGTTTTTTCGTGGCTTAGAGCCTTTAAATACAAAGAGGATTAGGTTTAGGGTCAAAGGGAAGTCAAGGGGGAAGCAACATTTTTCGGGTTTGACTTTGACTCCCCAGCTCGATCGAGTTGAAGCTTGGCCGGTCGAGTTGAGGAACTCGACCGGTTGGTCGAGTGGACGGTCGAGCTGGTCTTCAAGATGGCTTCTCCCTTCTTCCTTTGCGTATCCAGTTGAGCTGCTTCCATGTGCCAAGTCCCTCCATGCTCCTTGTGTCCCATATGCTCCAGAATGCTCCAAAAGACCTATTTCAAAGGACCAAACATGCATATGTATGCAAATGCAACCTAAAACTAACATGAATGCATAAGAAGAGAAAAGGAACAAGATATGATGCAAATGGAAGCTAAAACTATGCAAAAGATGCATAAAAGATGTGCTAAAACTATGTAAAATGCAAGTACATCACCTCCATACTTGAGTCTTAGCTTGATTCGAATCTCATAAACTCATAGTGTAAACTTATCTGGTTCTTGTGTTCGATAACCCGTTACTACATCTGACCTGTGCACTTGCAGAATCAGGGATAGGAATAGGTAAAACCTTATCCTGCATCAGCACCAATTTTTCTTGCCGGTCGTTGAGCTTGAACCGGAATCCCGGCTTGTGGTGGAATCGCTCCCGGTGGAGGAGCTCCTCCGTGATTATCTGCCATCGTATCAGTACCAGAGTCGTCGTCACTTAGCTGTAACTCGGAACCTGTCTGAAATCCTGAACTCGACTCTGCCTCTACTCTGTTCTGCCGTTGACGCTCGCGTTTAGCTCGTTCAGCTCGTTGAAGTTCGGTGAAGCTCAACAAATTGGATTTGCCGCATGAGCGTGTTTGCATACACCTGAGAGTAAGACAAGTCAAAGCCCAGGCAGATTAGTTGAGTAATTTTCAGAAAGTTTAAAGCTTGAACTTGAAATTTTCCCAAAATCGAAAAATCCCAATCAAATCTCCAAGATTGGCAACGGCGCCAGTTTGAAAACAAGATTTTTAGTGAATCAAACCCTCAAATCTCTGCTCATATCATCGCAGTATAGTTAAGGTATCAATCCAAATCTCGGAGAAGATTGGGTTCCTAAGAAGAACAAGAAAGTTCCAAGTCAAGAACAAAGATTTGGTTTTTTTACTAAATCCGAACGTTAAACAATAAAAATACGAACTTAGAACAGTAGACTAACGGTCCAAATCCGAAATCAAAGGCAAAGGTTTCGACTTTGAGCTAAAAGACTTGAACTTTATGAAAGGAAACGATGAAAGGCGACAGCTTTAGGTGAATGCGGATGGAAATCGAGCTAAAGGAAGACACTTTAAGACTTAGAGCATAAAACCGAGTTTCTAGGCTAAGGAAAACGAAGGCAAGGGCTTATCACTATCGTGAGTAGGCTCAAATACAAGGTTCAAGCTCAAGAGCTGACTATCGTCAGTGAGCTTGTACACGAGCAAGCTTTAAGCTTAGATCCCAACGCCAAAGAACCCTCTAAACAAACCGCTATCGCGGGCTAGAGAAGTAGATCCCTTCTTCTTAGATTTTCCAACTCTCAGGCGCACTTTTGCTGCGTTGAGAGCTTGAGATACGAGCCAGAATGATCAGAAATGGCAAGGCATTAAGGATACTAAGAGAAGGAGAAACTCTAAAGGCTTTAGCTTAAGACTCAGGCCCTCCTCTAAGCTCTCCAACCCATAACACCTAAAACAATCTAAAGACTACTCACTCATCCTTGATGAGAAAACCGACTCCAAAGAAGGAAAGGTTGTCAAACAAGTGAGTGAGATGCAATCAACAAAATATGCAAGTACGTGATTAGATTAAGGAAAAAGATCCAAGCTTACAAAGTCTAAGATCTCCAAATGAGAGAGTATTTCTTGGTGGCAAAATGAAAGACAAATTACAAGGGTGCCTAAAAAGTTAGGACTTTTAAGTTTTTATAGTGGAGACTCTCTAAAACCCTTCTTCTTTCCTTCCCCAAGATTTAAGCTCCAAAACGCCGCGTTTCACTTACGCATGGTCAACTCTCTTCTTGGTCAAGGAAAGGTGACAAACGGGTTCCTGATCCTGGTTCACATCCTGGTTGCTCTCGGGTCTTGACGTCTCCAACACTCCTTCTCCCCAATTGACTCCAAAGCTCCATTAAGTACCTGATTTAGACTCAAAATGCAATGTATATGCAATGCAAGTCCTAATGAGGATGCAAATGTATATATAGAGATATGAGGATGTATGTGTAAGATAATGGGACTTAAGAGAGGAAATATGCATGCAAAAGTATGCTAAGATATGTTAATATATGTGTATATCAGATAGGCAAAGGTACCATAAGGGCATGTGAAAGTGGTCTTCTCCTGATCATTGGGATGGATCGGGATTTGGAAGAAACCACTGTAACCATCAAGAAAACAATAAAAGGGATGGTTTGCTAATCTTTCTAACATCTGATCAATGAAAGGGAAGAGGGAAATGATCCTTTCTAGATGCTGAATTTAACTTCCTATAGTCTATACACATGCGATGCCCCACTATTGTTCTAGTGGGAATCAGCTCCTCTTTGTCATTCTTTATGACAGTGATCCCCCTTTCTTTGGGACGCAATGAACTGGAGATATCCAAGTGCTATCACTGATGGGATAGATTATCCCAGCATCAAGCAACTTGAGTATCTCTTTCTTCACTACTTCCTTTAGATTGGGGTTCAATCTCCTTTGAGGTTCAATGCTAGACTTACTTTCATCCTCTAGATGAATCCTATGAATGCATAGGTCAGGGGAGATTCCCTTGATATCATCTAGAGTGTAGCCTATGGCTTTCTGTACTTCCTCAATTCAACAAGCAAAGCACTCAACTGTTCAGGTTCCAAATCAGAGTTCACAATGACAGGGTAGGTTGAGTTTTCACCCAGAAATGCATACCTGAGGCCCTCAGGCAAAGGTTTGAGGTCGACTTAGGTGCCTTGAGTTCAGACCAATCTCCTTGAGCTTGTTCCTTGCATCGGTATCCAGCTCGATCGAGTTCGTTTGTTCGAGGCCCGACTCGATCGAGTTCTTGATCGAGCTCACTGCCATGACTTCACAACTGGCCTGTCTAATCCTTCAATGCTCAAATGTTTGGAACTGGTCTGAAGGTGTCAAGGAGCCTTGAATACTCCTCGGTTTCTGAGCTCAATATCCTTCTGGATCCTTGGTCAGAGCAACTTGTAGGGATCTTCCAAAGACAGCTCTTCCAAAAGCTCATCTGCCAACTGATCCATTTCTTCAACATAAAAGAGTTGACCTTCTATTGTTGGCTTCCTCATTGTATCCTTGATGTCAAACTTCATCTTTAGGTCCTTTCCCAAGGTTCAGCTCAATTGTGCCTTCACAGACATCTATCATTGCTCTTGCTGTAGCTAGGAATGGCCTTCCTAGTATCAATGGATCTGTTGGTTCCTCATCCATCTCAAGCACAATGAAGTCGGTGGGGATCTCTACATTCCCTATTCTCAAAGGTAGGTCTTCAAGCAAAACTATCCGCCAAAACTAGTGAGATTCCGCAGGCTTGATACTTGTGATATCCCAGTCTCTTCGCCACTACAAAGGCATGAGGCTGACTAGATGATCCTAGGTCGCAGAGGCTGTTTTTGAAAGATAGAGGTCCTAGCATGCAAGGCAATGTAAAACTCCCCGGATCTTCCTTTTTGTCGGAGATGACCTTCCGTTGAATGATTGCACTGCACTCACAGTCAACACTACCATTCCTTGCACCTTCTTGGTTCTTTGTACAGCATCCTTCAGGAATTTTTGGTAAGGTGGAATGAGCATCAAGCATCGATGAAAGGCAACTTCAGCTCAAGTTCCTTCATTAGTTCATCAAACTTAGCCTTGTGCTTTTCCAACAGTTGTTTCTTGAACCTTCTGGGAAAGGTAGAGGGGGTTTGTATGGTGGTGGCCCTGATGGAGTGTGATGTAGCGGAAGCTACGATAAACACAGCTCAACCAATGATTCAATTAAATCAATTGGGACCTGCCAGCTCAACCAAGGAATTCAATAGAATTCTCGCTTGGGACCTGATTCTTGAACTCGTTGAGATCTCCCTAGATCTACCAAAAACAAGGATAGAGATTTTATTAATAATCAACAATTCATAATACAATAAGCCTAAACGGTTATTTATAACAAAACCTTAAAACCTAGAAAAACCCTAAAATAAGAATAGGAAATTATCAAAATAATAATATAAATAATTAGAATATTTCTAAATATCCCTCTATATCATTCTCTTAGGGTTGGAGAAGATTCGCCCTCGAATCTTAGCCGCGATCATTAATGTCACAACCGTGTCTGCTTAATATTTTCTTCCTTTTTCTCCATCGATTAAATTCTTCATACACAAGTAACCATTGTTGACTTACTTCCTCGATTTTGACTCTCGCATGAGAATGTGATACACATTTCAAAACAGACTATTCAAGGGGCCTTATATTGTTTAAGCCCAAATTAGAGCATGATTCTTGAACTCCACGTGACCTAATCCTGTGTAGGGAAGAAACAACACTCGCCAACTCTTGAACAAATCCACCGTCTTCCTTTTGTTGAAGAACAAAGCTATTGTCTTCAATAATGTCCTCGTCATCGTGTACATCGAATATTGGATCTCCAACAATTCTTTATATGCTCCATACAAATCTTCAGTTTCGATGAATAATGGATATTCATCCATGTGATAAGAAAAACTTTCGACCACCATGATATGATATAGAAGAACAGAATCGAACCTTGATTGAGAAATCAAAGTACTGTCTCTGATACCAACTGATGTAGCGGAAGCTACGATAAACACAGCTCAACTAATGATTCAATGAAATCAATTGGGACCTGCCAGCTCAACCAAGGAATTCAATAGAATTCTCGCTTGGGACCTGCTTCTTGAACTCGTTGAGATATCTCTAGATCTACCGAAAACAAGGATAGAGAATACTCTTCTCTCAAAGACTAAGCTTTTGTATTAATAATCAACAACTTCATAATACAATAAGCTTAAACGGCTATTTATAAGAAAACCTTAAAACCTAGAAAACCCTAAAACAAGAATAGGAAATAATCAAAATAATAGTATAAATAATTAGAATATTTCTAAATATCTCTCTGCATCAGAGTGTCCTTCTTCTTTCCAACAGGCTTAGGTAGTTGGCTAGAACTTGCTTTGTCAACTTGTGGACTAACTCGATCGAGCTCTGGTTTGTCTTGCGGAGCTTCTGGTTCACTAGCTCGATCGAGCTCTGGTTCAGTGTTATGTTCTGGCTCGATCGAGTTGGTTGCAGGAATGTCTGAATACTCAACTAAACCCTCCCCTTCCTCGTCATTGATGTCCACATCGATTTGGGGTGCACCAATCCTGTTAGGTAACTGTCGACCACTTCGTAGTGTGACTGCTTGAACATATTCTTGGGATGAAGAAGATGAAGCGCTAGAAGACTCAATAATTTGTACCCTTGAAGTTAGAGATGCTATTTTGGAGTCTATCTCAACCAACTTGTTGTTCATCTCCAATGTGCCATTGGCTTGCCCTTGTAGGAGCTGCTGAAGCATGTCTTTCATGTCCCAATCTGGACTTGGTGTAGTGGGATATGGCATTGATGGGAATCCGGGTGGGATATTCATTTGGTGTAGTGGAAAAGTGGGTGGGAAACCTTGAAGAGGCTCGTGCTGCCTGTATCTTTGCGGAGCAATCTTGTATGCCGCAGGCGCTTGGTATGCTGTGTGACCATAGATAGTCTTCTTTGTGTTTGGAGGTGCTCTTTCAATTTGTGGCGCCTCCCCTTCCTGTTTCTGAGCGTGTGTTGTACCAGAGATAGAGTTGACTTGCTTCGCAGGGAATTGAGCTAGGATCAGCCTGTCTAGCTTGGAATGGAGAGCATGCAAGTCTTTTCGCATATGTGCTTCTGACTCGATCGAGTGCGCGGTCGAGCTCCAGTCTTTGCTATCGTAATTCTCTCCATAACTTTCTGTTGATATGGCAATGTTCTCTACAAGCTGCCAGCCATCCTCTACATCTTGCTTGAGGAAGTTTCCATTGCTGGCTGTGTCTAGCATTTCTCGTTGCCTTGCCAAACATCCTCTATAGAGTATAGAGAGTAAGGACTCATTGCTGAATCCATGGTGAGGGCATTAACTGATGTATCCCTTGAACCTTTCCCAAGCTTCTGTAAAAGTTCATTGTTCCTCTGAATGAAGCTTGATATCTCACTCCTTAGCTTAGCTGTGCGACCGGTCGAGAAAAACATGGCGAGAAACGCCTTCTTGCACTTTTCCCAAGTTGTAATTGTGCCCTGGGGCAGGCTCTTCTCCCATTGGTGAGCCTTGTCAGCAAGAGACATAGGGAAGAGTCTCAGCTTGATGGCATCTTCAGAGACACCATTGATCTTAGTCAAGTCACATAACCTATCAAACTCATCAAGATGATCAATGGGGTCTTGACTTGGCAACCCATGGAACATCTTGTTCTGGACAAGGTTGATCATACCCAGCTTGATCTCAAAGTTGTGGTTCTGCACAGGTGGTGGGAATCCCTTGTCTTTGTTGATGGCGGTTTGGAGCATCTCCTAGACCAATCGGTCGAGTTGCCTAGCTCGACCGAGTCCATTACCCAAAGGGTTTCCATTACCCTCTGGTACATCCATGGTTTCAGTAACAACCACCTCTGGTTCTCTTGTACCCTCTGAGTTCTCTGACTTCGCATTCTGCCCGTGGTGAAATCTAGCTCGACCAAGTCTTCAGTTGTTCGACTCGATCGAGTTCGCATGCACCTGCAAAAAATCAAAAACCCAGCAATACAAATATCACAGGTGGGATAGCTTGATCGTCCAAGTTATTTGAAACTCAAATGCAACAATTATCAAACCCAAATGGCAACGGCGCCAAATTGATGTAGGATTGATAGTGGATTTATGTGTGTGAAAGATGATATGAAATGATATGAATGATATGAGGTGGAATGCAAACAGTGGTAATGAAGATGAGATGGTATGGTGCAATCACAATCACAATCAATCAATTCCCTTAACCATCATAGTCGATGTAGTATAAGAGGTTATCAATCCATAAGGGTTTGTTGCTACTCTATGAGAATATGCAAACACAAGGAAGTCAAGCAGACAGTAAATATGATGGGAAGTAACTCTAGCAACCTAATGAAATGAAATGCAATGCAGAAAGTAAAAGAAAACAGTAAATGAAAGCAGCTCGACCAAGGGCTCGATCGAGTGGGAACAGAGTAACCAAGCTCGATCGAGTTGAGGGTCGAGTTAGCGTAAAAACAGAGAAAAGCGATAAAGACACGAACTTTAATACAATAATGCGAAGGTTAGGGTCTAAGACAGGGTCTTGCGACTAGGGGAAGACTATACTTAATCAATCTTGCTCATTAACCACTTGTACTCAAGCTATCTCTTGGTATTGAGCTTCTCAAGCCTAGCTAACCCTTTCCCAAGGTGAAAGCTATCATCTAAGGCAAGATCTCAGAAACAGGGGGTTAGCCAGTGAGAATCAAGCCTTAGAGGCAGTAGGATCATTGCTCAAACTAACCCATCCAACACCTATAAACTCCATTTCGAGAGCAAGCATATTGGAGCTCTTAGTGGACCTTTTCAAGCGATTTCCCAACACTTCCATGAGGAAAATCGCCTAGACTCATACATGCCAGGGATAGTGGTCGCTTGTCCAAAAGAGAGAGATTTCTAGGTTAAGAACATAAAGCAAAAGAGATTAAGCATAAGGATCCTCTAGTCTAGCCCATCTTGGACCCTAAGGATAACTACTCACTACACATAACGAAATACACAATCAAATGAAATGAAAGAGACATAATATGAAAGAGGGAAAAACTAAAGAACTTTTATTGAAATAAGCAAGTGCAAATACAGAAAGATAAGGCCTAGATCTAAGGTTCAAGAGCAAGAGCTCAAGAACACAAAGAGAGGCTTAAGGTTTTGCAAAAAGTAAATACAAAATTAAAGAAAAGCAAAACGAAAATAAGCTAAAGATTGTTGTCTTTTTCGTGGCTACAAGCCTTTAAATACAAGAAGGATTAGGTTTAGGGTCAAAGGGGAGTCAAAGGGAAGCAACATTTTTCGGGTTTGACCATTGACTCCGCAGCTCGATCGAGTTGGAACTTGGCCGGTCGAGTTGAGGAACTCGACCGATTGGTCGAGTGGTGATGGCGGGTTTAGATTGCCTCAAATTTTCACAATTTATAAACCCAACTAATGAGCTGCAAGTGCACAGCCGTGTTGTAGTCGGGGTCGAACACGAGGAGGAAGTGTTCTCACTTAACACCTTGTGAGATTGGTTTGTAGCTAGCTCGCAATATGAGATGGTTTTGGACCTAGAATGAGAAAAAACAAAAGAAATGTGAGTGAGGTTGTAAACAATTTAAAACAAGAGTTAGGCAAAGGACAATCATATGGAGCAATGATGAAAAGATAGTTGCATGGGATGTGTGTAGAGCCGTCTTGAACATGAATCACTAGTGTATGGTCTTTCCACTGTCGTGGCTCCAACCACTATGTTTAAAACAACCTAATATACTCAGCTTTCGTTGGCTATTAGAATTGCAAACATGCATTAAAGGTTCAAGATTCAATTGTTCACAATAAACCATAACTCAGCTTTCGTTGGCTATGATCTATTGCTCACCAAATACTAGTTTTGAGATCTAGATTCAGCACTGTCGTGGTTCTATTTCTCTAAGATCAGATTACTAGATGTACGGTAGAGTAATCATGCATTAAGCTCAAGTAAAGGTGAAGATCCATAAGATAAATCCCAATAAGTTGCAACACAATCAAATCATCACGGCCACCATAGATCTCCTCGGCCTAACTAAGAGATCTACTCGGCCATGATGCAAACAAGCAAGCAAAGCATGATTGTAAACATTATGCAAGTATTAAAAGAGATAAAGGGATGAAGAAAGCTTCTCTATTGATGAACAAAGTCGGATTCTCCCTTGAAAACTCTTAAATCAAGTTTATAGAAATGGAAACAATGAAAAAGAAAGAACAAGAGTTGAGCGGCGCCTCCTTCTTCTTGGACGATCTCCTAGGGCTTCTCTCCTCTGAACTCTCTTCTCACACGTACACTCTTTGATAATTTTCGGACTCGACTCTCTTCTTCAGCGGCTAAAAACATGTATATATGGGCGAAGTCGCGTAGGGTTTTCTTCATGCCGGAAAAGGAAAGTTTCCCGTGAGCAAAGCCTTCTTCTCCACGTCGTGTATGGGCCGACATTGTACCAAGGAAAGCTCCAAACATTAGCCAGGCCTCTTCTCTATTCGATCAAGGCCTTTGGCGCTGCTGCTCGGGCCATTAGACACTCCAAATCCTCCATGGGCTTCGTTTGCTCGCTTACCGGACATGTCTCGGTAGAAAATAAGTCTAGGCCTCATAGTTGATCCAAATGGCTTCATTCCACTTCGACGTGATGCATGACTCAAGTATCTATCTTTCCATATCAAGATCGTAACTTTTGGACGTCGGGAACTCCTCCGCGCGCGGCCAAACTTCCGAAGCTTCGTTCTGCGCGCAGCGAGAACTAACACTTGGAGATAAAATGATCTTCTTGACTTGGAAACTTGCATGGATCTTGATTTAGGGCTCTTTTACTCCTTTTTGCATCCTTTTTGATGGTTTCACCTACAAAGACTTCAAATCCCACAAATACAAGAAAACTACCTCTAAAGGCAAAGAATCTTGCAAAAACCGTTTGAAAACATAGGTAAATATAGTAAAATCATGTAAAATATGGTGATATCAAGTGGACGGGTCGAGCTGATTTCAAGACGGCTTCCTTCTTCATCCCAAGCTTGTGCGGTTGAGCTGAATCCATGCACCAAGTCCTTCCTTGCTCCTCACGTCCCAATTGCTCCAAAGTGCTCCAAAAAGACCTATTCAAGGATCAAACATGCACATGTATGCAAGTGCAACCTAAAACTACTATGAATGCATAAGGAGAGAAAAGGAACAAGATATGATGCTAATGGATGCTAAAACTATGCAAAAGATGCATAAACGATGTACTAAAACTATGCAAAATGCCAGTACATCAGTATTACATAGAGCCCAAGCACAACTTCTATCAATAGATGCAAGCTACTCAACTGGTTAACAACTGACGAGGAACCTGTTGCTGAAGGTCGTTGGCAGACTCGCGATCCCAAGGCATTGGTGAATGGCCTTCCTCTTGGACCAAATGCGATCAAAGTTTTTGTGGATGTTGTTTTGGATCCGGATACATTCATTTGGCGGCCTACAGAAGAACTCTCAATTCTTCAACACTCTCTCAAAACCTTTGTGGCATGGCCAGTCGGTAGGGTTGTAATGGTGGATGATTTTTGTAACATCCCGGTTTGTGGAGAGGCTTAAGAGAATTGATTTGGCTACCTATGTCAACAAAGTGCACTTACCTTTTCGGTCAAAGGTCTATAAGTAACTCCAGAGTTAAGCGTGCTTGGGCTGGAGTAGTTGAAGGATGGGTGACCTTTCGGGAAGTGGTTTCCGAAACCGTGTGAGTGAGGCCAAAACACGGGGAAAGGTCGGGTGTTGATTGCAGGGACAATAAACAAGTCATTAAAGCCTCTCAAATATAACAGACAGGGGTGAGGCCCACGGGCCGAGATGGGCCTGCGGGCCCGGAGAGAGGGCGTGGGTGACTCACCGGGAGGGGCAGTCGGGGCGTTATAATTTTAATCCAGATGCACCACCTACTGCATCTCCTTGTGGGCAGTCACAGTTAGTCACTCCAGCAGCTCCTGTCAAGAGTTCAAAACCATTAAGTCAAACTCCGCCAGCTTCCTCACACCACGTATTTTCTCATCTTTAATGTTCACATATGAAGTTGCATTTGAAGATATGTTGTGATCTTTGTATGTTGTGCACTTGTTGACCATACGCCTGGTTGCTTATAACTTGATTCAGGGTTCTCCACGAGTTGTTGGCAAGGAATATCAGAAGTGCAAGCTGCTCGACATAACGGGTCAGAAGAGGATTGTTGCCGAGGGACGATGGTCTTCAAATAACCCAGACCAATTGGTGCATTTTGTTCCCTTAGGCTTTGAGGCTGTGCGTGTATGGGTCGATACAGTGAAGGTGGACGATGCAGCTGTTTGGAAGCCTAATTCAGCAATTCAGTCCATGGAAGATGCTATTGGGACCGCAATAGCGTGGCCTGAAGACAAAGTGGTCCTCCTTTGAGACCGAGTAAGAAACATATTCTATTCACTTTTGTTGTGGTTGAACCACTTATGAACTTATTCTATTTGTGAGAATTGAGACTTATGTATTTGTATACTTATGGTTTTCTGAATGAAAAAGATATTGAAACTCCAATGTTGATCTTAATTTTGTATCTCTCATGCTTTTGGATTTGTCTTATGGGGAACATATTTTTGAAACGAAATAATTGAAACGTATTCATCCTAATAGCGCCCATATAAAGCCATGGTACGGGCAAGTAATAGCCGAATAATAAAGCTACTATTCATATTAAGGTAGCGATGAAGAAACGCCACAAAAGGTAATCCAATGACACGAAAATAGTGCTACTGGACAGTATATTACAACACAAAATATAAGCTAGGACTGATATAAGAATAGCAACCATGAAACGCTACTACAAAAAATTGAACAGCACATTAAGTGCGCTACTGTACATACAACTATAACAATTCATAAACGCTACTGTACACAAAACGATGGCAAATTTGCTCATAAAAATCCCAAATGAGAATTATTATTCCCCAAGTATCACTTGCGCAGTTTATTCTTCAAGTTAACGTTGACTGCGCAAAATTGGGATTAATGAAGTCAACTGTTAAACGGATGACAGAAGCTCGTTAACGTAAATCATGATAGCAATCATGTATTCTCTTTCTAAACACAAAACCTCAAACCCTAAATTCGTTTCTACAATTCGAATTTATCTCCTCCTACACGTAATCAGATCTAGTTCCATCATTCTATCATTTCATCAATCGATTTTTATTTACAGAGATACACACACTTACATTTTTAGTGACAAACATGATCGGTTCTATTTCTGGCCAACGATTTTTATTCTTCGTGATGTTCTTCATGACTTCTCACTGAACTTCGCTGGATCTTGCTTGCAATTGCCCAAAATCGCTTTTTCCCCGAAATTGCAATGTCTAGAGATTTGAGGATTTGGGAATTAGCTATAAATTAGGGATTTCGTTTTATCGCTCTTTAACTATTTAATTTTGTGAGTTTAGAATGAAAAACGCGATTAATATCGCGTTAACGAGCTTATGTCATCTGTTTAACAGTTACTTCATTAATCCCAATTTTGCGCAGTCAACGTTAACTTCAGGAATAAATATGCACAAGTGATACTTGGGGAATAATAATTCTCTGCAAATAGTTCGGGATTTTTATGAGCAAATTCCCCAACTATATTGTGTTATAAAAACAGTTACTAATAACATATATAAACAGCTATTGTAACTACTCCAACGATAGCGCAGGAAAATAAACGCTATCATATGTGACCACTCTATTATAGCTCCGGATGTAATAGCATATAAGAAGGAGCTATAAAACCAAATAATAGCGCATATCGTCTGCTATAAATATCCATATTTTTTGTAGTGTTACTTAGTTTTACTAGTAATACAAAATGAAACAACTTAGTTTTACTTAGTTTTACTAGTAATACAAACTGAAAAAACAAAGTTAATCATAGTAATACAAAAACACTTAGTTTGACATAGTTTGACTTAGTAATACAAAATGAAAACATTTAGTTATTAGAAGACAAAACAAACTTAGTTCTTCTCATTCTCTCTCGAAACCTCTCCATTTTCTTCCTTCTTCTTCTTTTTTCTTTCTCAGCCTTCACTTCTGCCTTCTTCCTTTCTTTCTCAGCCTTTTCTTCTGCCTTCTTCCTTTCTTTTCAGCCTTTTCTGCCTTTTCCTTCTGCCTTTTTCCTTTCCTTCTCTACCTTTTCTGCTGCCTTCTTCTCTATCTTCCCAGCTACCCTTGTAGACACCCTCGGCTGGTTAGCCTCCTCCAAGAGCTTCTCCCGCTTCTGCCTTTTACCCTCGTCCCGCTTCTCGTTCATTCCATCTCGATCCCGTTTTAGATGGACTTTCAGCTTAGGGCGATGAGAAATTGGTCGTTTAGGAGAAGCGACCACACTGCCGAGACTTTCACCTCCTTCTTTCTCCACATTGCCTTCAGGAGAAGCGACCACACTGTCGAGACTTTCACCTCCTTCTTTCTCCTATAATCCAACAAAGAAAAAATATTAAAAATAATATTAAGCAAAAATATACTAAAAGAATTGCAACTATTACCTTTTCGGGCTCGCTTTCTTTCTCTTTGCCAGAGACATCATCAACTTCCTTTTCCTGCGATTTATCTCTGCCATCAGGCTCTTGATGACTCCTTACTTATGTGGCTTAGGAGAAGATGTGGCGAGTCTTCTTCTCCACTTCCATGGCCATGGCTTTTCTGTGACCTGTGGCGGTTCTTCCTCTCCCTTGTCCTGCGAAGGGTCTCGACTTTCATCGGCCAGGGCTCTCTGACCTGTGGCGGTTCTTCTAAACCCTTGTCCTGCGAAGGGTCTCTGACCTGTGGCGGGTCTCGAAGTCCCTCTGCCACGTCTTCGAGATCCCTGTCACCACTTTCATTACCGTCTCTCTCTTTTGAACCCTACAATAAAAAATAGTTATACTCAGTTTCACCAAGTGTTACTTTTGTTCTAAAATCTGAAAACACATAGTTTGTTACCTGTGAGATGTCATGGCAAATGTTGTCATCCTCCATCCTCATATGAGCAGTTTGCTCATTCACATAAGCTTCAATCGGAGCTATCCTTACCTCCAACCGATCAACTTTCTTCTCAATTGTCGTCATACGCTCTTCCATCTCCTTCTTCATGCTCTGGATAAGCTCTATCAATTCTGAGGATGGCGTGTTAACAGCTTCCGGGTTCACCGCTTCGGTGTTCACCGCTTCATGGTTCTGAGGAGGAGCTTCTGCTAATCTTGCCACATCTTCGTCGTACATATCCTTCAAAAATACGACCTGCGATCGCTTTGCGAGCTTCATCCAACTCTCGACAACGACACAATGCTCATCAACGTCGTCCTCAGGTTCTGTGATTCTTTCCAGAAGACGCTTCTCACTAGCGTTTGCAGTTAGGATATTATCAATGTCCTGCAAATACAATAAACGAGTAAAGATTACTAGGTTAATAATTTACAGTAAAATTTATAGGCTTATATGCAAAAGTATAACTGACCTTAGTTGTACCAAGTTGTGCACTTATTCTCTCGAAAGGAATTCCTTTCATGTCGCATTTTTTGAACATTGACTTGCACATCTTCGGACATTCCTCATCTGCGCCTGGAAAAGGTTGTAGAAATCGTTCACCTAACTGTGGAATAGCCTCGAAAGCTAAGAACTACACAGAGAACAATGAGGTACAGTTAGAAAGCATTAGACTTAAAATATTAAAAGTTTAGACAATACGAAATTGAAATCGAAATAAATATTACCTCAAGAGGTAAAATGAAACCTGGAATCGGCCATGGTTGGTCTGCTTTTCATCCTGGAACAGCCCCATTGAAATGGGTCATTGTCTTGGAGATCCCTTCTAACATGTGATCATAGGACAATCTCCCCCAAGGAAATGTCCTACACAAACTCAGATCACCCACGGCTCTTAACAAGAATGGGTCCACGGAACTAGCTTTTTTTCCAGTCTTCGTCTGCCCTTTGATAATGCTAGCTAAAAAGTACAATATCAGCATCCTCAGCCTGTCATCAGAATTCGGAGAGGCTTCATCTTCTCTAACATTGGCTTAAGATCTTGATATCTTACTGTTGAACCCAGCTTAAAATACTTCTCCACAAATGCCATTTTCCCAGATTTATTTTCCGCAAAACCGCTTGGATAGTTATGGGAATACAATCCCGATATCAAGGCGTGTTCCCTTAGACCATAACGGATAGGCACGCCATTTACAATGAACCAAACTTCTTTTTTCTTCTCAATGCATGCGGTTCGAAGAAGCAGCGTCCTTCCCTGAAGCTTGTGGTTTCGATCCCTTTCATCACCAACAACGAAATAAGAGTCAAACGAGGAACTAATCTAATCAATCCTGAGACTCTTCATTCCTCAACAAACACGAAATGCGAGCTAAACAAACCCGGATTCAGAGATAAACTAACGATCATATACTAATTCGAATCAACCAAAACCATCCAATTCAACATTTTTCCCTAATTCAGTTGCTCTTGATTGTCAGAGTCCTTACGCTTGAATCGGGGTCACTCAAACTTTGACTCCCCCCGTTACCATCTCCACCTCTAGTCGGAGGGTCTCTCAAACTTTGACTCCCTCCGTCGTCGGAGTTATCTTTCTCACCTCGGTCGTCTGAGTTCTCTTTCTCACCTCTGTCGCCCATGACATCTCGTGCTCCTACTGCACCTCTAGTCGGAGGGTCTCTGAAACTTTCACTCCTAGTTTCCTCTGAGTTCTCTTCCTCACCTCCAGCCGGTTGGTCTTCCACGCCGATCTCGGGTGGCTCCGATTCGACATCTTTCGCTCTCGATTGTTTCTTTTTCTTCAAGAAGACCTTCTCGAGATTTCTCGTGAGTACCATCTCCGATTTCGAATTTCTCGTTTAAACTCTCTTCAAACTCTCTTCGATTTCGAATTTCAAATAACGAGAGAAGAATGGAGAGAACGCGAGAGAAGAAACTGAAACGGTGAAACGCAATTTTCATTTAAATTAGGTTACCCGATTTGAGATGGATATAACCCGTCGGATCCGGATAATTCGTAGTCGGATATGTAATTACTGTAACTTTATCCAGATATTATTGTTCTTTACTTGTTTTTCGAATTAAAAATAAATACTCATAAAATGCAAGAAAATAGAGGGAGAAATGAGATTGTCTCGAGAGATATAAGGACAAAAGAGGTGATGTCTCGTTTATTTCATTTCTATCCATCTTTACGAACAAAAATTAAAACAGAAAAATGGAGAAGAGGCTCCGGTCATCTCTCAAGACATCCGCCGAGGAATTCCTCTCATCCGCCGTGAAATTAACCCTAAAATCCTCTAAACCGTCGCTGAAAACCATTATCTTCGCGGTGAAACCCTCGTCGGGCCTCTCTTCTTCTCTCCCACTCGCTCTTCACAACTCCATACTCAGCCACACAGAATCCTTCCAGAAAGCCGCCAAAGATGGTGATAATCCGTATCTCCCCTCTCCCTCTGATTCGCCTCCATTGAAGCGTCAACGTGGTAACGGATCCGGATCCGGACCCCTACCCGATTCCGATTTGGATCAGCGGAGGCAACAGATCCTTGCTTCTCTCCAGGTCCTCTCTCATGTACTTCATCTTTGCCTTTTATCTCCCAAAAAAGCGTTTTCAACCTCCGATATACTTCCCGCTGCTCAAGCTTTGCATAATAATCTTATTCTGTTCGAGTCGGATTCGGTTCTGTGCCTTGAGATTGCCGCAATTTGCGAGGTCTGGTGGAAAGAAGGTCTTTTGGAAAGAGAAACATTAATTTCTCAGTCGTTACCGTTTCTGCTATCGAGGTCACTGACATTGAAGAAGAAAGTGGATGTTCATCGAGTCTATATGTTGAGGGAAGCATTCACATTGTTTGATTTCGAAGACGAGAGCATTGAAGATCTGAGGATGTTGCTGATGCGGTGTGTGGTTTCACCTGTGTACGTAAAGACAGAAGATGGTCAGAGATTTGTCTCTTTCGCATTTGGACTTAGCCGACAGTTGATGAAATCTGGTCTTGCTGTTGTTAAAGCTCAGATTCCTTTTGGGAGGAAATCTGTGCTTGAAGGGTTTGGTGCGATTCTATTTCGAGCTTGGAGAGAAGTAGAGGAAGATTTGAAAGGTGAGATTGAAGATGGGTTTCTGCAGGGGATGATTGATAGTGCTATTCACGCGAGCTCATGCGCTTTTGCTGCCTCTCTAAGAAGGGTTTTGGGAGGCTTTATCGGCCAGCGGACTACTCAAGGAGTCGAGAAGCTCCTCTTTAGCCTTGCTGAGCCCATGATATTTCGCTCACTGCAGGTTTGTCTCTTACGTTCTTTGGCTTCTCATCACCTAGCCATCTCTAGTTATCCATCTGAAACTATCTTAATGCGTATAATCTTTCAGGTCGCAAATTCAAATGTTCGTTTAAATGCTTTACATTTACTTCTGGATCTTTTCCCCATGGAGGATCCTGATGCAACAAAAGAAGTAAAAGATACGCTGCTTGACAAACAGTTCTATTTGTTGGAAAAATTGATGAGTGATGAATGCCCAGATGTGAGGTCTGTTGCTGTGGAAGGTCTCTGTCGAGTTTTCTATCTTTACTGGGAAGTGATCCCATCGTCAACAATTACCAAGATCATCACCAAGATTTCCGATGATATGTCACATGAATCGTGTAGTGAAGTTAGACTTTCAACGGTTAATGGTATAACTTATCTCCTTGGAAACCCGCATTCCCATGCCATTCTTGAAGTGCTTCTACCAAGACTGGGGCATTTGTTGCTAGATAATGTTACTTCTGTACGGCTTGCCATGGTAGATCTGCTCCTTCTTTTGAGAGATCTCCGGACTTTCCAGTTTAACACGGTAAGAAGAGGCCTTCCATTTCCATTTCCATTTCCATTTCCATTTCAATATGCAATATTGGTGAATCACTGGTTAAATAGTTGCCATACTGTATGCAGGTAGTGAGCTTGGATGTGTTGTTATCTGTTCTTGCCTCTGAACAGACTCATGTTGCTAAGGGAATCGCTCGACTTCTAATGCCATCATACTTTCCGTCAACAAAGAAAGCTGAGGAGGCTTGCACCCGATGCAGGACACTCATAAACAGAAACCCAACAGCTGGTGCCCGGTTTTGCGAATTTTTAGTATCTTTAGGAGCAACCGTTCAATCAGCATTGCAGCTTCTTGGGTTCTTCTTGAATTCAGTCTTGTCGGGTGATAAGCTAGAGGAAAACCAGATCGAAGGCTTGCTTCTTGCTTCTTACTATCTTTGTAAAGATCTTGTTGCTGATTCTGGGTGTATGGCCTCCCTTAAAGAGCTGTTACCTGGACAAAAATTGAAAAGTTTGCTAGCTTTTTCACCCACTGCACAGGCTCAGTCAGCTGTCTTTGATATTCTTGCTATGGTCTCCCCTGATACTGTGTCTGACGTCCTCGAAGATTGCATGACTTTAATTGTCAATTGTGGTGGTTTGCCTGGGGATGCAGGACGACAGACCGAGATGAGATCTGTACACAAGTTACTCTTGTCTTCTAATGCCTTTTCTGACCTCATTAGAACTTTCACCAGTATAATGCAGAAGGCTGCATACCGTTGTCAGATCAATTTTGGCTCTGAAGTGGAAAGAAAGAATGTGTATTCCATGACGAGAAAAGAATCAAAATCTTCTGGAAAATCTTCGGCAAGGTGGAAACATGTTAGCGGCAAAAATGCAATCAGTTTCGAAGAAGATTATTCGCTTGCTGTAGGAATAGCATGGCAGATAAAGGATTTACTCATTATCGAAGATGCTCGTGAAGCTATACTTGAGTCTGATATCGAGGAGCTATTCCTCGCCTTAAAAGTCGTCTGCCAGACTAGCATTCGCCAAGCCTCTCATTCTGAATGCATGGACGTGTACCCTGTAATGGCATATACTTCTCTTGCTTTGCACATGAGTCTTCAGAATCTTAATACGGAAGCTCAGAAGAATGATACAAGAAATGCCGGGGCAAGGATTTTTTCCTTTCCCTCTTGACTCTTTACTTTACTCTTCACATAATCATATTACTAATCATCAGATTTTCCATTTTTAAGCAGAATGTTCTGGACCAAACAATGGATCACATTCTAGGCTTTACAGATGAACTATTTCAGGCATGTGAAAGTGGAACGCCAAGTACCATATCTCTAGACGCAAACGTTAGCAAGAAACCAAAAACAAGATTTTCAAGTTCCAGGAATGATGGTGTGTGTCGTGGCTGACTTCGTTACACATTTTACCAAACATAACGAAATCTTATGTAGCTCTCTTATGTAGTTTTCTGACATTATTTTATGTTCTGTTCAGCTTCCGAGGGATCTAAGAAAGGAGTTGTAGTGAACAAGGTAAAGATGCTTACCGCGATTCTCAAGTTTTGTGTTGAGTGTACCGAGATGGATCTAGCTTCCCACTTCCAAGCAAGGATGTTAAAGTTCACATCTGCATATCTAAAGTATGCCATCTCCATTTGCAATCACCATTCAACGGGTAAGTTAGAATTGGAAGACGCAGATATAAAGGACTTGCTTTTGTGTATAAAAAGCTCCACCAGTTATGCCGGAAAGTTGATAAACCTAGTGATGAGACAAACATCTGAAGCTTCACCCCTTTTGTTTGAAACTTTTGACCTTGCAAACGCCCTGCTTCATCTATTCACCACGGTTGAGATATCTCTAGGCTCGGTTTACGCATTGAGAGTTTTGACAGCTTTAAACCCTTGGATACCAGATTTGGTTCTTGCACTAGGACCTTGTTTCATCAACAATAGCCTAGAAGAAGAAAGTTCATACACCAGCTCATTCAAGCACGTCAAACTCTGCTTTCCCTCATGGCTTATTACATTCGCAAAGATCGAATTACATGAAACCGATGAGACCTCGGATTCCCATCTCCAACTCCCGGGATTCAAAAAGCTGATAAGCACCGTAGTTACACTGGTGAAAGGTAACTCCCACGTTGTTGATGGAATTGGTTATGTTCTCTTGATATGTTCAGCAGTGTGTATAGAGAAGAAAGATTACAATACCGCTCTAGGATTGTTGCATTTTCTATGTGTGAGGTTAGTTAAAAGAGAAGATAGAGAGTGGAAAGACCTTGACACAATGTTGGTTTCACTTCCAAGAATTTACCCGATAATAGAGCGAGAGATAGGTGAAGAGAGAGACGAAGATGAACTGAAGAGTCTTGAGGCTGCAAGAGAATGGCTTCAACCTGTGTGGATGTACCATGTCTATGAGACCGGTAGGTTCCGTATGATGGAGGAAGAAGAATAGATTGGAAAGGAAAATGTTCGTTTAGAGTTTTAATATTTTGATGCGTTGTAACATATATTTGAGGGAAGAGTGTTCTTTTGTACTCTTTTAGGCTCAGTTTAATTTGACTCGAGAAGAAAACATTATTAATGAAAAAATATGTAAATATGGGTTGCAATTCGAGCATGATTTTACTGAGAGGTTAATAGTTTTTAAAAATTTCTACTCGCTATATCAAATAACAAAATTGTGACAGTGAAATTAGCGATGTGGATAATGTGGGTTCTGGGTAGATTGAAGGAGCGGTGTGGAAGGAACAAGAAAAAAAAAGGGAGAAATCTCTAATAAACTAAAGCAGGGCGCCTCTCAAGGCATCCAGCTCAGCTTTTTGAGAGAGCTCTCTCCACTTGCCACGTCACATTTTACAAGCCCATAAGCCCATTTTACAAGCCCAGATATCCCAGACGGCTCTTCTTCTTCCTCTGTTCTTCGTCTTCCGCGGTTTCTTCTTCTTCGCGGTGTCGCGATTCCTCTTCCACTTTCTCTTCTTCCCAGCCGTTTCTCATCTCAGATTGTCAATCAAGTTAGAGAGTTAATGTATGCTTCGGTTCGACTTCTTACTTTCACTCGCTATAAATCCCTCGCTCATCCGAACCTGCACCTCTTCTCGCTGAACCCTCAAATATTTTTCCGTCGATCTAGCCATGGCCTCCAAAGCCCCACACTTTCCAGGTCCTCGACCAGATCGAAGGTGTTTTCTGCAACGATGCGGTCTTTGTTAGGCTCCTACATTTATGGGAAGCAAGGAACTTTAAGAAAGGGAACGTTTTGATGGGCGTTGAACTCCTTCTCCTTGACTCTCAGGTAATCGATGTCTATTTATGCTACCGACTTAAAGTAGTCGTTTATCTTCAACCACCCGAACGTTCCTCATGATAACCTCTTCTTCATCTACTGATCTTTCGGCAGTAGCCAGTAGGAGCGTGCTTCCTGATGCAGTAGCAGAAAATGAAAAAGAATCGAGGTTTGACTATCTACGAAATTCATAAAAGTAGTTACTTAAGAGAGGTTTGTTCGATTCATCCTCTTTGTCTCATATGCATTTTGATGTTTCATGTAATAGTTAGATTGAATTGTTTCAAGGTTTGATGAGCTAGAGAAGATAACTCATTTGAATTAGATGTGCTTATTATATAACCAGAGTTGAATCTCCTCTTATGTCTTTGCAGAATGGAGATGGAATCATGGGATTTTTTGGGAGACCAGTGAAGATCGTCTCCGTGAGTACTTTCGCTAACATAATCGAGTCACTGGGTGTGCCTGTGGCTTTGGTTTTATTGTCATCCTAGACTCCAAAGTCGCTTAGAGAGTCGTTATGCATAAACACATGATTGATGGCAAATCTGTAAGTTTGAACATCTCTCCAATCTCCAAACCAACATCACAATGTTTAATATATCAATAATGTTGTGTTGCTTCAATAATCATCTTCTTTCTGTGGAAAAAAGAGACTTCATTTTCTTTTATCTTAGAGTATTGTATAATACTTGGACTCTCTGAGGATTGATTTCGGCGTTGAAATGCAGGTTGGTTCAGGACCCAGTAAGAAATTAAGCCCCCCCTTTCAGGTCGTCAACAGAGTTTTCCGCTTCTCTGGCTATTCAGGTTCTCAATTTACTCTCTCGATTTCAATCATTTTCCAATGTTGCATCAGCCAAAATGATGTATCGTTGACTGTTTCGTACCTTTTGGAAACAAATGCAGGTCTGTATAGTTGTCTTGGATCGTTAACTTTAGGAAGAATTTCAGGATTCTCACAGCTTTCTGCAAAGGTATTACGCAGATCCATGTCTTCTTTGTGTATAATCTCGATAATTCAAGATTAAGTTTTGCATCTAGCTCAAGACCACCATTTCAGTTAGACAAGAAAGCAAATTGACTGTATTCATAGATAATGTTAAGCGTACGTAGCAGTATTCAAATCCATTTATAGCTTTTACTCTCAAAGTTGGTTCCTTTCATCATTGTGACGATGCATGATGGTAGTTTGAGTTTTGGTAGCTGAATTATACGATTTGCTCAATCCAAACCTTTGTCTTGAAGAATCTAAACTCTCAAGTATGAATTCCTTTTGCTCCAGATGGTCGACATGATAACTATGTGGAAGTCAGTGAATCTTTTCTAGCTGGAGTGATAGGAGGTGCAGCGGAAACAGTGATGACTTCTCCATTTGAGCTAATCAAAGTCCGAAAACAAGTGGCTGCTGCATCAGGGGCTCCAAATGGTACCGCTGTTGCAGAAGCCGCATCGGTTTCACCAATGATCACAAAACTGCTTAGAAGATACACACTCGAGATTAAGTCACTGACACAGACATCACAGCCGCATGTAAGAGTATCCATGAATGATGACTGGAACAGGAAACCCACCATCAGCCACGGATGTTAAGAGACTGCTCGATGTTGCGTCGCTTGAAGGATGGAGATCGTTATGGAGGAAACGTTCGTGTCTTATAAGGGATTGTGTTTACGGAGGAGTGTTCTTCTCGACATGGCAGTTTCTTCACGAGGCCATGCGCGGTTAGAAAGCTGTGGGAATGAATCCTCTGCCGCTGGGTTGTAGCTGCAGCATCCCATAGCTTTGACACGGCAAGAATACGAGCACAGTGTGTTATATTGCCAAAGGTAGAAGAATGATATCCATTCATGACTTTCACCTTTATCTTACAAAACTCTGTTTCTCATTTCTTAATGTTTGGTTTCTTTCTATTGGATGTTTACAGTATACAGCGAAAGAGAGGAAGTTTCTGAAATGGAACAACCCGGGAAAGAGATTAGAGAGATGGAAAGGGATCCATCATACAGACAGAAACCTCGGAATTGGGGTAAGGATGGCTCGAAAAGAAAGGCTATTACTTGGCTGTTGATTTATTGGTTCCCAAGTGAAAAGAAAAACAGACGACACACTTTGCATTGAAATAATCAGATTATCTTATTTTATCAAAAAAAAAATAATCAGATTATCTTATACATCAATTTTGTTTTTGTTTGTAGGCTTTGTGTTTATCTCTCGATTATACTCTTTTGAGTTTTGCTGTATTTGTGCCATAACAGAAATAATAGGCATGACTCACAAGTGAAGACAGGCGACAACGTAAACTGGGAAGAAGTAAGGATTTGCTATATCAAATTGTCTTCAGTTTACGAATAAAGATATCTTAATTTTGGTGATACTTGACGGGTTCTTATTGAGTTTTCACATTCGTTTTAAATGTAAATAAAAACAATTCAAATAATTGTGGTAACGTCTAAATTATTCTAAAACAACATCTGCTCCCTATAGTTTTATTCTCTTATCTAAAAACAGCTACACTACATTGTGTATATTCGTAACATCTAAAAATCATTACCGTTAACAACACACTTGATAAAGAATATAGGGATTCTTTGAAAAATACCCTCTTTGTGTTTAAAATTTTGAAAAATACCCTAATTTATTTCTGCTTTGAAAAATACACTTTTTAATGTAAAAAGACTGTTTTGACCTAATTTAAACAAAACATTAAAAAATCATTACAGCTAAAAATTAAAAACGAAATTCAAAAATAATAGAATCAATAAGATTTTTTTCAGATAAATATAAATTTTAAAAATTAAAAAGTGGATAAATCTATATTCCATTTTTAATGTTTTCTGTAAACAAATTTTAATTTTTATAACTTTATATAAACAACTTTAATCTCATCCCCATTCCAACCAAATGAAAATTTATAAATATAAACTTTACACTTTATAAACTAATTGAAATTTTAATAGTGGATAATTTTATCTTCCATTTTTAATGTTTACCTTTATACATATTTAAATATTTTTGAAACATTATATAAACAATTTTAATCTCACCCTCATTTAAACTTTATATAAACAAACTTATACTCTTAATAAAATCTAAACAGATAATTAGTATTGTTTAGTATTTTAAAATGAATAAAATCATAATCAAATCTTAATATTTTAGATTTTTTATTTGAATTTCGTTTTTATTAAATTAGTTGAAAACCTCAAATTAGGATAATTAAGTCATTTCATATATTAAAAAGTGTATTTTTCAAAACTAAAAAAAACAAGGGTAGTTTTCAAATTAAAAACTCATCAAAGAGTATATTTCCAAAATTTCTCAAGAATATACATACCACTAGATTTAATCAATTTGACAAATATTCATAATTTCAAATTCATATGAGATATATATGCACAAGGCACATAAGCAAACATTTCCCAGTAATTTTGCTAATTTAAAATAAACATTCATTTGGTTAGAGAGATAAAAATACAATAACACAAATCTTACAAAATGCAACAAAATGTCAAAAGATTTTGGGTCCGACTGTCAAAATATTTGGACTCCGAGCTCATAAGCAATTGTAGAGTCGCCAAGTCTATGGGTCCGACACATACAAAGGCGCAGAAAAGAGCTCTGTTTCTCCTTTTCAACTCCTCTTTCCTTATGTTGAAACAAACACTGGATGTTTTCTTCAGGTGCTTTATGGGCATGCTTTAGTATTGGTAATTTGGTATCTCCTTCACTTTTGTTGGTGAGGTAAAAAGGTTCCTTTCTCTTTCTTTCTATATTCAGGAAATTGTGGATCATGTAACATTGGATGTGAAAGTTATAAGTTACTTCTAAAAGTTATAAGATACTGCTCTACCTGGAAATGTTCAAGGAAGAAGCCAAGCAAAGGAAATCTACTAATATCAAGGTCGGAGGCAGCTCAGGTCCACGAGAAGGAGGATCATAAAGTTCCTACTGAATTTCTCTGGCTTGAGCAGAATATGGGAAATGAACTTACTCATGTCATCACAAGAGTCAAGAGGTATACATATTACCAATAGCATAACAAAATACATGATTGAAATTGTAATGAAAGAGAGGCCGGGTGTTATATTCAATGGCCAAAATATTTAAATTCCAAATGTTCAAAATCTAATTTTAAGGTCGCCATAAATTTCCCTTAGCTATTCAATGGAACAAATTGTAACAATTCACCTAGATAACAAAGATATATTATTCTCTTCTCATGAGTTACAGAGTTGCATACATTAATAAGAAAAAATAAAATAAAAGAACAAAAACCACAATTGATAAAGATATGGTTGAGGTGAAGGAACAAAAAAATAACTAAAAACATTTTAAATACATGAGTTTTATTTGGTAAAAGCTCAAAAATGTTAGATAGAAAGGAATTATGGGGAATGTCGATCAAATTTATAAAAATGTTGTCAATTTTTAAAGATAAAGCATTTTAGGAATGGGGATGTTATTATCTGGCGTAAAGCAACCTTTATAAAAATGTCATGCTATTGTATTTTAAGAAAGCCAAAAAAAAAAATATTACAACAAAACTTTAGTACAAACACTATGACAGAAACAAGAAAAGAAAATGCATATAAAGTTCTTCATCTCAAATGTGATTCGATAAAGACTTTACTTAATTAAGTCTACATTTCTTTCCTTTAATTATTTTCTATTGAGAATTAATAGGAACAAAAAACGAACAAAAAAACATGATTTTCCATACGAATATGTGATGCATTTGGAAAAATAATTCTACAATAAATGCTAAGAAGTAAGAACTGTGTATTAAATAGTAACATATGAATAGTATATAACAAAATTGTTGGACCATTAATATTGTAAAAAATTAATATTTCAATTTTTTTGTCAAGTAATATCTTTTGTTATCATTAGAAAACTACTATAAATAAATAAAACACCAAGTTAAGAAGAAATTAAAACTTTTCAAAAACTATAATTTAGCTCTTTACCATAGCTTCTTCAAATAATTCGATAAATATTTACGCCCGGTATATCCTCTAGTTGCATTTTAAACCATGAATGTAACTAGTTGCTTCTAGTTGCATTTCGAGGAGAATAAACAAAATTTGGGTTGACCGCCAAAGACCCCCCATACAATACCACTTCCGCTTATACACACCCAAACTTTTCATATCTGTCGATTCCCACCCAATGTTTCAATTTCTTTCTATTCCCCCAAATCGAATTAAAACCTGTAATCCACGTTTGAAACACTTAAATCACGTTTTATCAAGAGCGATTCCCCAACTTAAACCCGATTAACTCCGATGTTTCATATGTAATCCGACCCAAAAACCTTTCTTTCTAAAACCCATAACCCGACACTTTTTTTCTCTCAAATCAGAAATCGAATTTCAAAATCGAGGCTTGTATTTTTGATTCCTGGGTTTGTCGACCTTCTGTGTTCATCAGAGGTAGAAGAAGGGTTCATCTATCTCGTTTTCGATGAGGTATGTGATTTGAATTTCTGGGTTTGTAAAGCTTGGCTTGATTGGAAAATCCATCTCTTTAGAGTGTAATATGTAGGTTTCATCTTGATTTGAGTACATTGCTTGATTATATGATAGTTTCGTTTAACTCTTAATCTGTTTGCTCGATATGTGTTATGTGATTCTCAATTGCTCTTTCATTTTTTTCTGATTTCTTGTTCACAGTGTCACTTTCAATGTCAACATATATTATGGAGGAGATATGGAGTTTAAGGATAAGGAGGTCACCTACAATGGAGGAGCTTTTGAGCAAGACATACTTGTCGATCCTGATTACATGACTTGGAGTGTTTTTGATGAATTTTGTGAGAAGCATGGATTAGGTGACACTTCTGTGGAACAGGTCTGGTACAAGCTGCGAGATGAGGACATGGATTCAATAAGGAGCATTGCTTATCTCAGTTCTGATGCAGGACTTATGCGAATGTGTGAAGAAGCCATGTATGGAGGTGATGTTGATGTCTTCCTTCAGCACAAAAACGAATGTGAGAAGCAAAGTGAGAAGGAAAGCGAGAAAGAACAAGAGAAGGAGAAGGAAGGAGATACAGAAAGTGAGAAGGATGCTGCAGAGGTTGGAGTTAACCAAACAGAGATGGGATATGAAAGTGAGAAGAATGCTGCAGAGAATGAGGAAGATAAGAAAACTAGAAAGAGTAAAAAGGTTCAGATTTTAGAATATGAAGAGGATATAGGTGAACGATATGAGGTAGAGATTGAGGATGGAGTAGAGAATTTTGTTGATGAGGAAGTGGTCTTGTGTAGTATAATGCCTGACACGTCTTCTGATAGCGAGCAAGAGGATGATTTAGTTGTAAGAAAGAGACGTATGAAAAAGAAAAAGAGTGAGAGATTAGCTCTGGGAAGTACTTACTGGACGGGCTATGAGTTTAAGGAAGCAGTTTTAGAGTATGCTTTGGACAAAGCAATGGACATCAAGCAAGATAGATGGGATAAGACAAAAATAGGATATAAATGTGCTGCCGATTGGAAGTGCAAATGGAAGCTTTATTGCTCTTATGATAAGCAAATAGAGAAGTGGGTTCTGAAGACAAAGTGCGGATATCACAGCTGTACACCTAATGGGAAATGCACTATGCTAAAAGGTCACGTGATTGCAAGATTGTTCTTAGATAAACTGAGGCAAAAGCCTAAGCTAATGCCTAAAGATATTCAAGGTCTTATCAAAGAAAATTGGGGAATTATGAGCACAATCAATCAATGTCAGAATGGAAGATTGCTAGCTCTGAAATGGCTTGAGAGAGAGTATGATCAACAGTTTGCCCATATCCATGGATATGTTGAAGAGATACGCAAGAGAAACAAGAGATCAACAGCCATTGTTGAAACATATCGAAATGCCAAGAAAGTGGAAGTCTTTGACCGGTTTTATGTGTGTTTCGATAGGCTGAGAAGAAGATGGAAGAGTTCTTGTCGGCCAATCATTGGTCTTGATGGAACTTTCTTAAAGGTGGGAGTGAAAGGAGTTTTACTCACTGCGGTTGGACATGACGCAAATAATCAGATATATCCAGTTGCTTGGGCTGTGGCACAAGCTGAGAATGGAGACAATTGGTTATGGTTTATCAAGCTGATTAAAGCTGACTTGGGGCTTGAAGATGGTGATGGCTACGTCATGATTTCTGACAGAGCAAAAGTAAGTAACATCTCTTTGTTATTTTTTTCTCGCTTTGGCTACTATCTTTTCTCATTTCTTGTTCTCGTAGTAACATCTAAACTTTTTGTAATTTAAGGGACTACTAAGTGCAGTTAAAGCTGAGCTACCTAAAGCGGAGCATAGAATGTGTGTGAAACACATTGTTGAAAATTTGAAGAAGAACCATGCGAAGAAAGATCTCTTAAAGATGCATGTTTGGAACATTGCTCGGAGTTGTAACATGGCTGATTACCGCGAGAATCTTAGAAAACTGAGAGAGTATGATGCTCCTCTGTTTGAGGCTGTGATGAATGAGGATCCACGGTCTTGGACATTAGCATTTTATAAACTTGGGAGCTTCTGCGATAATGTGGAGAACAATTCCACAGAATCTTTCAACGCCAGTATTGCAAAGGCAAGAGGTAAAGCTATCATTCCCATGCTTGAGACTATTAGGAGACAAGCAATGGCTCGGAATTCAAAGAGAAGCAAGAAATCTGAAAAATGGGCTGGTAGATACACTAAATATGTGAAGCTGGTTCTTGCTGAAGAGGAGAAGAATGCCAAGAAATGTGAAGTAACTCATGCCTCACATGGACGCTATGAGGTGGAGTTGTTTGGGCAGAAACACAGTGTCAATACTACAAAGAAGACATGCACATGTTTTAAGTGGCAAATATCAGGAATTCCATGTGAACATGCCTATGGAGCTATGCTAGACGCAGGTTTGGATACAGACAATTACATCTATGATTGCTTCTCAACAAGTAAGTTGCAAGATTGTTACAGTGAAAATATCAAGCCAATGAGAGGACCACATTTCTGGATGCATGGTTCATATAGGCTGGTAATAGCTCCTCCTGAACCTGATTTACCTGGAAGAAAGAAAAAAAAGGGAATAAAAAAACGAATCAAAGGGAAGTTTGAGTCACCAAAGAAGAACAAGAAGAAGAAGAAGAAGGAAGTTCAGAAGCTTGGGAGACAAGGTCGCGTTATGCACTGCTCAAAGTGTGGTGAAGCTGGACACAATGCTTCTGGATGTAAGATACACCCAAAAAAAAAGATGAGAATGACTGAGGAGACAAGTGAACAGGTTCGTTGATGTTTCTCTCGGTTATAGTTGCTACAAGTTGTTTTTACTTGTTTCTCTTGGTTAAAGTTGCTGCGAATTGTCTCTTGCTCTCATTCTTATTGATTTTTTGCTTAATTGCTTCTACCTATGTTTCAGGCCACAACTTCATCTCAGGGACTTGAAACGGTTTCAATCACTCAACCTTCTCAAATGTCTGAGTAAAAGTTGGAGTTAATGTGTCCTCCTTTCATGTTCCTCTTAGTATCCTTGAATGTTATTTGAATGCTATTTGTTCATTCTTTGAATGCTATTTGTTTTGGTACTTTGTATGCTACCTTTGAATGCTATTTGTATTGGTATCTATGAATGTTATCTTTGCTATTTGTTTTAGGATTTTTATTAAACCTTATATAAACAAATGCTCGTTTGTACGATTAGTAAGACCAAAAGCTAAACAACTCTTGCGTATGGAACTTTAAATAGCAAAAGCATTACATAATTAAGGTTTGAAAGCAGTACACAATTTGAGAACCCAGAATTTGAGAACTCAAACTCTAATCTTTTCCCCCAATTTGATTTTTGATTTGAGAGAGAAAGTGTCGGGTTATGAGATTTAGAAAGAAAGGTTTTTGGGTCGGGTTACATATGAAACGTCGGGGTTAATCGGGTTTTATGTTGGGGAATCGCTGTTGATAAAACGTGATTTAAGTGTTTTAAACGTGGATTACAGGTTTTAATTCGATTTGAAGGAATAGAAAGAAATCGAAAACATTGGGTGGAAATCAACAGATATGAAAAGTTTGGGTGTGTACAAACGGAAGTGGTACTCTAGAGGGGGTTTTTGGCGGTCAACCCACAAAATTTTGACAAATGCTGATTTTGTCCCTCTTTATTTCGCCCTCATTTTTTCGCTTAGATCCTTCTGTTTCGGGTAGAGGGTTTGCCTTTCCTTTTTCCATTATCCGTCCGATTATTGATTTTCTCTTTCTCGGATCCTCTCTTTATTGCAACTCTTAAGCATCTTCTTCGTATCTCTCTGTTTTCCTTTTACGAGCTCACTCTCTTTCCTTTTCTGGCTCCGACTTCCTTTTCGACCTACTTCCTTGCTCTCCAATTTTCAATTAGCAATGATTTCCGTAAAAATCATCTCCGAATATTGCAGCATTGATTGCAAATTTTCCCTTATTTGAGTTGATTTACTCCCCAGGATCCCGCTGATTTCTCACCGCCTCAGCCTCTACTCCGCCTTGCTCATGTCGGCCGAGAACCTCCATGAAGCGATTCGCTCGATGTCGCTCAGTGAAGATGAACCGATTGATTTCCCTGACAGTCCCAGCTTCCGTGTCTTCGATGAGAATGCAATTAGCATCTTGGGGAGGCTTGTGAACCCTGATTGTCAACCCATGGACAAGATGATAGAAGACATGCCTCGAGTCTGGAGAGTCTATGATCGAGTCCGCGGCATCGCACTTTCTCGTGAAAAATTCCAGTTTATCTTTCAGAGGGAAGAAGATCTCGTTACGGTTCTGAATGATCGTCCCTGGTCCTATAATAACTGGATGATGTTGATTGATAGGTGGATTCCAACCCCTCCGACCGACTTCTTAACCTCCGTGGACTTGTGGGTAAGGATTAGTCGCATCCCCATGAATTACTACAAACTTGATACGATAACCTGGCTTGCTAGAAGGGTCGGTGAGGTCCTTGAGGTTGCGTATGATCCGGAAGCTTCTCAGAAGGAGACCTACATCCGAGCGCTAGTCCGTCTGAACATCCGTGATCCGGCTATAACTACAAAGCCTGTGAACTTCCCTACGGGAGAAAAGGTCATTATTGAGTATGACTATGAAAAGCTTCGAAAGTTCTGTTTCCACTGTCATCGTCTCACTCACGAATGTCCTGCCTGCCCTTACCTGCGTGGTCGTATCTCTTTGCCTTCCACCAAACAGAGACTTGAGTTAACTCCTGTCCCGACTGTCACTTCCAATGCGCTAGTCCCGGTTACGGAATCCAGCCCTTCGGTCCCTCCTGGATTTCCACCTCTGTTTGCTGACTTGCCTGCGGAAGAACGTAGGATGGCTCTACAGTATGTCTCCCACAGTGACGCCACAGAACGCCAAGAAAGAATCATGCGGGTCAATCAGTCTATTGAGTTAGAACGCGGCTCTCTGAAAATGCCTAAGGTCACCTACGACTTGGATAAAGGTAAAGGCCATGTTTTTGGCTTTGATCAACAGAGCTTAGACCTGGTGCGGGAAAATACGGTTTATGGGAAACCGGTGATATCAGCTCCACCTCCTAACTTCCTTGCTAAGACTTCTAGTAACCTCCCTGATGACCAAGAAGGCTCTTCCTCCTCTTTCCCTGTTAACTCTACGGTTTTCCGAATTGGAATGTCCTCGGATAGACCCTCGGCCGGAGTAAACAGGAGTATTGCTAAACGAAGGAAACGCCCAACCCGTGGGAAGAGACAAGCGAGAGCTAAAGCTACGGCTGCTTCTGCTCCGCTCCTGCCTGAAGATGGTTCGCTGGATATCCTTCCTATTTCTGCTACGAGAGTGGACCAACCATCCCTCGCTGACCCTTCCCTGAAACGCAAAGATCGAGTGAATGCCGGAGATCATTCTGCCAAATCTCTAAAAACCTCCTCCAGTACGGTGGCTTCCGCTTTGAAGCCACTGCTCCCCCAATGAGCATTCTGAGCTGGAACTGTCAAGGGGCTGGAAGCCCTGAGACAGTTCAACGTCTCCGGAAATTTCGTAAGGATTTCTTCCCGGACTTAGTGTTTTTGATGGAAACGAAACAAAAGTATGCGTATGTGGATGGTTTGAGTACTAGTTTGGGCTACGATAATTTGATCACGGTGGAGCCAGAAGGTTTGAGTGGCGGCTTAGCGGTGATGTGGAAGAATAACTTGGATGTGTGTATTTTAGCGAGGGACAAGCGGATCATTGATATGAAGATCAAGATGGGTTCGCAAGTTTTCTTTCTCTCGTGTGTGTATGGTGACCCGGTGAAAGCTAGAAGAAGAGAAGTATGGGACCAACTGTGCAGTATTGGTTTGGCAAGGGATGAAGCTTGGCTTCTTGTGGGAGATTTCAATGAAATGTTGAACATCTCAGAGAAAGTAGGAGGTCCACAGCGAACGGAGTCTTCTTTTTGGGACTTTCGTACTATGGTGACTAATTGCAAGATAAGAGAGTTTCGTTGCTCTGGGAATACTCTGTTGTGGGCTGGATGGAGAGACAGGATATGGGTTCAATGTCGACTGGACAGAAGTTTTGGTAACGACGAATGGTTTCAACTCTTCCCTCGTTCTCAACTAGCGTACCTGGACATGTACGCATCTGACCATAGACCTTTACGAGTGAGTTTCGCTTTTGAACCTTCAGATCACAGTAGAGGTAGATTTTATTTTGATAAGAGAATGATATCACATGAGGGCTTTGAGGAGGTGATACGTAGAGGATGGATGACTGAGACGAAAGGGATCTCATCTAGTCTCACTGATAGAATCACGAACTGTCGGCGTGAAATGGCCCGTTGGAAGAAGAGAGCTGACCTAAACTCTCAGAACAAGATCTCGCGGCTTAGACATAGTTTGGAATTGGAGATCTCGAAAAGCTGCCCGAACTCTATAGTTATGCAGCGGATCAAAAGAGATTTGGCTTCTGCCTACAAACATGAAGAAATTTTCTGGAGGCAGAAAAGTAGAGAGCAGTTGCTGAAGTCTGGTGATCGAAACACGAAGTACTTTCACAACTCAGTAAAAGGAAAAAAGATTCATAACCGTCTGCTGATGCTCAAGGACGAGTTAGGGATAGAACATTTCTCGGAAGGAGCCAAAGGCGACATTGCAGTGGAGTATTTCAGGGATTTGTTTATGAGCTCAAACCCCTACGACCTTGACTCCCTCTTTGAAGGTTTCGAAGAAATGGTCACACCGGAGATGAACATAGCCCTTACCAGACCTATTTCAGTGGAGGAGATTAAACTGGCTGCTTTCAATGTCAAGAGTAGTAGCGCTCCAGGAGAAGATGGCTTCACAGGTATCTTCTACCAGAAGTATTGGCACATTGTGGGCCCTAGTGTCATTGCAGAAATCCAACATTTCTTCTCCTCGGCAACCCTCTCTCCGGGATGGAATCACACGCAGCTCTGCCTGATCCCTAAGGTAGCGAACCCTTCTGTGATGAAAGACATGAGACCCATCAGTCTTTGTTCGGTTCAATATAAGATCATCTCTAAGATCTTGTGTGATCGCCTCAAGCCATTCTTGTCATCATCATCTCGGATACACAAGGTGCTTTTGTCTCTGGCAGATTAATCTCAGACAACATCATGATTGCCCACGAGATGGTTCACGGCCTGCGTACCAATCCCAAAGTATGTAATGATTTCATGGCTGTGAAGACGGACATGTCTAAGGCGTACGACCGTGTGGAATGGTGCTTCCTGGAAGTTTTTGTTGGAAAAAATGGGGTTTGAGAGAACATGGGTCAGCTGGATCATGTCTTGCGTCTCAACAGTCACTTATAAGGTCCTGCTCAATGGTCGTTCTCACGGCTTCATCAAACGGGAACGTGGGATTAGACAATGTGACCCTTTGTCCCCGTTTCTTTTTATTCTTTGTGCTGAAGCTCTTGTCAGCTGCCTTAATCGCTCTGAGGCCCTGGGTAAGCTTCATGGGATATGTCTGGCACCCCCTGGACCAGCAGTGCATCACCTTTTATTTGCAGACGACAGCCTCCTAATGTGTAGAGCTTCTGTAGAAGAAGCAGAGGAGCTAATCAGGTGCCTAAAACTTTACGGGGACGCGTCGGGTCAGATGATTAACCCTCACACATCACCTATCATCTTTGGAAAAAGTGTTCCCTCAGGACCTAGAACATAGATCTTGAATTCCCTGGGCATTAATAAACAAGGAGGAGAAGGCACCTATCTCGGCCTGCCTGAATGTTTCAGTGGCTCTAAAAGGAAATTACTTAATTTCCTCCAAGAGAAACTACAAGGACGCCTCAGAGGTTATTATGCGAAGGCCCTGTCTCAAGGAGGTAAAGAGGTATTGATTAAATCGGTGGGACTTGCTCTTCCTGTTTATGCCATGTCTGTCTTCAAGCTTCCCATAGATCTTTTCAAGAAACTTACTAGTGCCATGACAGAGTTCTGGTGGAGTAGCGGTGATAATAAACGGAAAATCCCATGGGTTGCATGGCAGAAACTATGTAGAGACAAAGACAAAGGTGGCCTGGGTTTTCACGATATCGGTAAGTTCAATCAATCGTTGTTGGGGAAACAAGCCTGGAGGATCTGGAAATATCCTAACTCTCTGTTGGCTCAGATTCTACGGAACCGGTATTTTAAAAATGGTGATTTCTTGGGCTGTGCTATGGGGGCTAGACCATCTTACGCATGGCGCAGTTTATTACATGGAAGAGAGCTACTCAGTCAAGGACTAGTCAAGGCTATAGGCGATGGAAAGGAAACAAGGGTTTGGGGAGTTAACTGGATCATCGATGAAGTCCCACGTCCGTTAAAGTATAGAGCAGACAGTACCATTGACCTCACACTGCATGTATCCGACTTGATCAATCAATCTACGGGACAATGGGAAACTACTCGGGTCCAACAGGTATTTAGTCAACATGACGCTATCAGGGTACTTCAGCTCAAAACCAATATCCTCCGCCGGGATACTTGGGTTTGGGGTTTTTCGAAGAATGGAGAGTACTCATCACGCTCTGGCTATAAGTTCCTTGAGACTCTTCAAGATTTGGACGTGCCTGCTTCTGCTTCCCTTCCGCCTCTTGAAAAACAACTATGGTCCGACTTGTGGAAAACTAAGACCTCGCCGAAGCTCCGTCACTTTTTCTGGAGGGCTCTGTCCGGTGCTCTAGCTGTCAAAGAGCGCCTTCGTTCCCGAGGCATTATGATGGACTCAACATGTGACACTTGCCGAGCTGGACCGGAGAGCATTTGCCATGTCTTATTTACGTGCCCAAAAGCAAAGGAAGTCTGGGAGCGGTCCTCTATACCTCTTCCTCCAGCAGGCTTCTCCACCAACTCCACTTTCTTGAACCTGCACTACTTGCTATCCTGCAGTAAGAACAAAAGCATCAATGCCAACATTAGACTCAGCTTTCCGTGGATCCTTTGGCATCTATGGAAATCGAGGAATGCTCTGTTCTTTGAACATATCCACTATGACGCGGCTGCTATTATCACCAAGGTAAAGGAAGATGTTGACATTTGGTTTCAGGTGGAGGACCCTACTCCTTGTTTTGCTACGTCTTCTGCAACAACACAACCTGGAGACCCTAAGTGGAGGAGGCCGCCCCCAAATTCAGTGAAATGCAACATAGGAGCTTCATGGCATCGTGGGCATTTTACAAGTGGTGCTTCTTGGATAGTGAGGGATCAGTCTGGATTAGCGCTGCTTTCGCATAGTCGCAGATCGTATGCTATGGTCTCTTCTCCTACTGAAGCTGAGCTTTTAAGTTTCTATTGGGCTATTGAATCTTTGAAGAATCTGCACTTTAGAGAAATGATCTTTGAGTCCTCTCTGGCCCTAGCTAAGGAAGCCTTGCTCCTCCCTGACCTTTTCCCCCAGTTCAGGCCCCTTCTGGATGCGATCTTCTCCCTCTTGCAGACATTTGAATCATGGAGTTTTGTTCACATCTCTGGAACTGGGAATCGGATCGCTAATGCTATCGCCAATAGTGTTATGGATTTCAACCTGTTTCAATCCTATGTTGGCAGTAATGGCCCTGTTTGGCTTCATGATCTTTTGCTTGACGATGCGGCATCCGGTTAAGCTTTGGGAGTTCCTTACTTCCGGTGGCTGTCTTCCTTGGACAAGTATGTCAGATAACAAGAGAAGACTGTCCCCTTACCCCCGCATCTCCTTTTTCTGTTATAGTAAGCTCTACTGAGCTCTCTTTTTCTTGGTTTTATGCTCTGTTTTGTTTGTTCTTTGAAGGTCTCTGTTTCGACCTTCGTACCCATCGGTACCAAACTTTGCCTTTTGTAATCTCTCCATTCAGCGTTAAAAAAACAAATGATAGCAATTTTGCAATAAAATTAACATTTTTTTCCACGTAGAAAACTTAGCGGAAAAAGGTTTAATAATTGAGTTTCAAAAAGACAATCAAATGTTTAGTAGTCAAAGTGGAGTAAATGCCCAATGTTATATGATTGAGTTTGAGTTATTAAGTCTTTTTTTATTTAATTTTATTTGGATCCATAGTATAAAACCTTTTTCAATTATTTTTTTTGGCGATGCGTAAAATTTGTTGGTTCCGTGGTTTGAAGTAGGGATAGTTTGAAAAGTGGGTAGTTTCAAGTTTGTAATTAGAGAAAGAGGTGGGTGCAAGTTTTAATTAGTAAATCAGGAGAGAAAATATCACTTTTGCAGTTTGAGGATCAAAATCACCCTCGATGTAAGACCATATCCAATGGCTCATGCTATATGTTATTACAAATGGCAAAAATATACTAATAGCATTGGATTTCTCTCAAATGGCTCATCTTATAATTTTTTTTCAACTTATTATCAATTGCTAAAACTACTTGATTTCTTCAAATTTTGCAAAGTAAATCATCTGTTTTTCTTTTTTTGCAAAAACATCCACAATTATAATATTTTATTATTTTATTATTATAATATTAAAACAAAATACATCACACTACATAAAAATTATAGAAAAAGAAGATTTATAAGTATTTTTTATGCTTTTTGAAATTCAGTATTTTTAACAATAATTTTTAAGTTTGTTATGGTTATTTTATTATATTTTCTATGAAATAATATTATTTATATTTTGGAAAGAGTTATTTTATTGTTTATTTATTTAAATAAATCATAACCAAAATATTAAACTGTTTAATTAAAAATATTTACAAATTGAAGACCGATTTTATAAATGAAAAAGTTCAATGGCAAAATAGCATATTGCATAATCTCATGCCAAATATAGACGCAAAAATAGCGTGATGCTATTTTGCAATAGCATATGCAATAGGGTTGGAGCAAATGCTATTACAAAATAGCATATAGTCATATTTAGCATGGGGTTGGAGATGCTCTGGGAGAGAGATAGACTGAGAAGAGAGAGGGAAAAGTGGACGGACCCATAAACATAATATGGAACATGTAAAAAAAAAATAAACATAAAATAATGTATAAATATAAATCAAAAATACATTAGTTTTCTCTTTCTTACTTTTCAATTTTTATTTCTCCCTTAATTTTGTCATTGTAATATATCATTGCAAAAAATAAATTATATGATGGTATATGTATTGAAAAAAGTAGATTTTTTTCTGAACATACTGAATTTAATTTTTTTTTAAACAGACAATTTTTTAAAATAATAGAAAATAGAAAAAGCATATATATGTTAATCAATTCTATAAACTAATCTAAACCCTAAATTCTAAAATCAAAACACATAATCATAAACTTTAACATTCAACTTCTAAATTTTAATCACTAAACCCTAAATTTTAACAACTCAACCCTTAATTCTAACAAATTATCTCTAAACTTAAGGTCTAAACTTTAAATATTAAACTAAACTTTTAACTCTAAAACTTCAATGTTAAATCAGTTTGTGATTTAACTGTAAAAATTCAATCTTAAGAAATAAAAATTAAAATCACATTCTCATTCTTACTTTTGTGTCTCCATCAAATTTATGATTCAAATATATCATTGTATAAACATAAATTATATAATAGCAAATGTATTTTTATAAAAAGTGTTTTCTGTATATTTTGAATTCAAAAAATTTCAAATTCGAGAATACTAACACGATTTCATATAAAGTTTACGTCTGTTATTGTATACAAACACAAAAATCTAATAATATTTATAATGTACACTCTAATATATGGTGTACACAAAAATAGTGTACGCACCAATATATAGTGTATGTACAAACCACCAAAATACAGTGTATGTACACCAAATTCTAATAAAATTTATAATGTATGCGCCAATATACGGTGTACGCATTAGTATATGCTATACAACCCACCGAAATATAGTGTACATACAAAAAAAAATTTAGTAATATTTATAGAATACGCGCCAACATTTGGTGTACAAAAGAATAGTATACACGCCAATATACGATGTATGCGCTAATATATAATGTACCAATATATAATCCTAGCACTCTTAGCAATCTTTAATTTATATATTATGTCCAACAAATAATTGGTTGCATGTATTATACAGTGTGCATATAAGTAGTGTGCATTAGTTATTTAGTGTATGTGTAATATGGTGTACACTAAATTTTTAGTGTACGTGTTATACGATATATGCATAAAAACTTGGTGTGATATATAATACATGCAACCAATTATAATTTTATGATCTCAAGTTTAAAGATTAGACTTAGATTTAAGGTTTAAATTTTTTTAGAATAAGTTTTGGCCATTTTTCATATATAACACTAAAAGGTAATCAAGTATTTTATCATCGACACTAAATCCTAAATATTAAATCCTAACCAAGTACTGATGAACCCTTAGAAACATTTGTAAACTCTAAACCCTAAATGCTAAACTCTAGTAAAAAATTGGTAAACTCATAAAAGTATAAACCCTAATTGCGGATTGGTGAATCCATAGGACAAAATTATAATCCCTCAACCTCAAACCCTAAATGGTAAAACCTAATTAATGATTGGTGAACGCATGAAAAAAAATGATAAAAAACATTAAAAACAAATGGATTGATGAACCTTTGGAAAAACTGTAAACTCTAAAATACAATAGGAAATCAACTAATCAGTCATCGACACTAAATATTAAATGCTAAACCCTAATTAAGTATTAATGAACCCTTGAAAAAAATTATAAACTCTAAAACCTATATGCTAAACTCTAGTCAAAGACTGGTAAACTAATAGAAAATGTAAACCCTAATTGCGGATTGGTGAACCTATAGAACAAATTTCTAAACCCTAAATTGTATACCCTAGTTAAAGATTGGTGAACCCATGAAAAAAAATCATAAAATACATCAAAACAAATGTTATTGGATTAAACATTTGTTTGATGTAATCTAAAATACTGTAGAAACCCCTAGTTAAGGATTGATGAACCCTTTAAAAAAGTGTAAACTCTAAAATACAGTAGGTAATCAACTAATTATTCATTGACACTAAATCTTAAATACTAAACCCTAATCAAGTACTAATGAACCCTTGCAAATAGTTGTAAACTCTAAACCCTATACACTAACTCTAGTTAAAAATTGGTAACTAATAAGAAAATGTAAACACTAATTGCAGATTGGTGAACCCATATGATAAATTTATAAATGCTAAACCTCAAACCCTAAATGGTAAACCCTAGTTAAGGATTGGTGATCCCATGGAAAAAATCATAAAATACATTAAAAATAAATGCTATTGGATTAAACATTTGTTTGATATAATTTAAAATACAGTAGAAACCTCTAATGAAGGATTGATGAACTTTACAAAAAAAATGTAAACTCTAAAATACAGTAGGTAATCAACTAATTAATCATTGACACAAATCGTAAATACTAAACCCTAATCAAATACTAATGAACCCTTGGAAACAATTGTAATCTCTAAACCCTATACGCTAACTCTAATCAATAATTGGTAACTCATATAAAAATGTAAACCCTAATTGCGGATTGGTGAACCCATATGAAAAATTTATAAACTGTAAACCTTAAACCCTAAATGGTAAACCCTAGTTAAGGATTCATGAACACATGGAAACAAAATCATAAAATACATTAAAAAACAAATGTTATTGGATTAAACATTTGTTTGATGTAATCTAAAATACAATATAAACCTCTAGTCCAGGAATGATGAACCCTTTGAAAATATTGTAAACTCTAAAATACAGTAGGTAAACTAATTAATCGTTGACACTTAATCCTAAATACTAATCCCTAACAAGTACTAATGAACCCTTGGAAAAAATAGTAAACTCTAAACCCTATACACTAAACTCTAGTCAAAAATTGGTAACTCATAAAAAATGTAAACCCTAAATGCGGATTGGTGAACCCATATGACAAATTTAGAAACCCTAAACCTCAAACCCTAAATGGTAAACCCTAGTTAAGGATTTGTGAACCCACAGAAAAAAATCATAAAATATTTTAAAAATTTGATTAAACATTTGTTTGATGTAATCTAAAATACTGTAGAAACACCTAGTTAAGGATTGATGAACCCTTTAAAAATGTGTAAACACTAAAATACAGTAGGTAATCAACTAATTAATCATTGACACTAAATCTTAAATACTAAACCCTAATCAAGTACTAATGAACCCTTGCAAATAATTGTAAACTCTAAACCCTATACACTAACTCTAGTCAAAACTGGTAACTCATAAGAAAATGTAAACACTAATTGCGGATTGGTGAACCTATATGATAAATTTATAAATGCTAAACCTCAAACCCTAAATGGTAAACCCTAGTTAAGGATTGGTGGTCCCATGGAAAAAATCATAAAATACATTAAAAATAAATGCTATTGGATTAAACATTTGTTTGATATAATTTAAAATACAGTAGAAACCTCTAATGAAGGATTGATGAACCTTACAAAAAAAATGTAAACTCTAAAATACAATAGGTAATCAACTACTTAAACATTGACACTAAATCTTAAATACTAAACCCTAATCAAGTACTAATGAACCCTTGGAAATAATTGTAAACTCTAAACCCTATACACTAACTCTAGTCAAAACTGGTAACTCATAAGAAAATGTAAACACTAATTGCGGATTGGTGAACCTATA